GGGCGCTAGGTTTAGTTGTGTTGATTTAAACGGGGTCCATTTTAAAAAAAAGGCGAGAGTAAGAGTGAGCAAAATAGCAGGGTCTACTGTTGTCCTCGTACACTTAGCGGTCGGCTATCCCTGTTGTCCTCTATGTCCCTAACTAGTGGTCACGGTTGTACTCTATGCACCTAGTGGACCTTGTTGTCCTCAATGCACCTGGCGGTCGCTGTTGTACTCTGTACACCTAGCGGTCCCTGTTGTCCGTCGGGACGCAGGCGCAGCTCCAGCTAGTTATGCAGCACATAGATGCGGCGACGTACCAGGCCTACATCAACCAACGCGTCCAGTGTGACACAGTGGCGGCGTTTCTTGGTCGGCCCTCCAATAAGGCCTTGCTGACCGCTAGGTGTGCAGACGGAAACGAGTCAGCCGCTAGAGATAGATGGGGACCGCCAGGCGAGGAAAATGGGGACAAAACGGGGACCAAAACATAGACCAAAACAGGGACCAAAACGGGGACCAAAACGGGGACCAAAACGGGGACTGCTAGGTGCGGCGAGGAGCGGCGAAGACAACGGGGACCACTAGTTGCGACGAAAATGGGGACCAAAACAGGAACCAAAACGGGGATGGAAACGGGGATCAAAACGGAGACCAAAACGGAGACCAAAACGGGGACCGGTAGCGGCGCGGACCGGTGGGTACGCCAGCTTACAAAAAAAGACGGCGGGCCTGCTAGATACGAAGCAGACAACGGGGACCAGCTTACAGAAGAGCCAGCCTGCGAAAAAGTACCTAGAATCGTATGGCGGTCTTCCACTCCGTAGCGCCCCGAGAGCCTACAGTCCACTGAGGGCAGCGCTAAAGCGAAGAGGTGGAGGGGACCAGCTGGCGCGCAGACAGAAGCAGGCGTCAGGGCAAGCATCAGGCCCCAGGCCCCTGGCCCCAGCCTGCAAAAAAGCAGCCTGCAAAGACAACGGCGCTGGAGAGCAAAAATGGTAGCACTACCCAGCCTGTAAACCATGTCTCCAATGTACACCAAAGACACCCCATTCATCCACTAAATGGCTCTAGCTGCCAAAACTACAAACTTGAGAATGAGCAACAATTGCCCAGCACCGATTTGGCCTCGCAGTCAATTGTTTGTTTCACGGCAAAATTAGATAAATCAATATTAAAAGCACACCCTGGTCTTAAAAAGTATACCACTATACTCTCAATAGATTTACATGTTTTGCTGCCCACGATGATAGACCAGGAAGTGAATGGCTCCAGGTGCCGGAACTGGGCAACCCTGTCTACTCGACTTGCAGGGTTATTACCCTCACCCGTATCTGACCTCAACCGATGACATTCAGGCGGCCACCACGTTGACAAGCTGCGGCTATAAGATGTTCGTATTGCAATCAGTGGCATTTAGATTGGCCTTTGTATCTTTTAAAATTATCATAGTCATGATGCTCGGCCAAATGATGTTGGAAAGCCGGTAGTGTGTGAAATATAGCTTTTTTCTCTGCGCATTGCGGAGCCGGACACTGCATGAAGCGTTCACCAATATTCTTCAGATGCTGCGAAAGAAGATGATCTCTTGAACGATGAGGGAAGTAGAATTTGCGAAATCTTTGATTTGGTACAATGCCCTCATCCCAGAAACACATGAAACATTGGTTTTTTTCACACTTCTGTGGTCTGCGTGGAGCGTTGAGGTTTGGTGCCGACTTGGGCGCTCGTGCTTCCTTCCGTACACCAAGTGACAACATAGCATGAGTGGTGTATAGCCTGTGTTGCAGCCGTGTAGGACCATCCAGCATACTCGTATCGGCGATAATCAGCTCCGCAAGCATTCGACGCTCGGTTAAACCATGATCAGTTTGCGGCTGCCAGTCTCCAGCATCCAAGTCGGCATCATTGCGCAGCTGTGCATTTATTTCGGTTGTGCTGATTGTATCAAAAAATTCTTTTCGCGTAGCGGTTTTGGCAAGTTTTCGTAAGTACGCTCGAGTCGATCGTACCTTGCTTTCCACAGTTCGGTACATTTGATATAACTCAGTTCCTGTAGATTCGGCGCTTTTAATAGTCCCAGATTCTCGGCGCACCTCCGAGCTCAAAGAATCTCGCAGCTCAATCAACTTGGCCAGCGTTGTATCCGTCTTGATTTCTTTCAACTTTATGGTGCTCGCCTGTGTTGGTGCTCGAGGATCGACAGAACGGCTCATGTGGCCTGCTGCTTTCAGCAAAGTCTTATTGGAGGGTCGACTAAGGAGTTCGAAATGGTATTGATGAAGACAACACCTCACCTCGTGTGTGGGTGAAGGCCGAGGTCTGGCTCTACGAACCGCCTATGCCAGTGACATAATAGCAAGGGGAACCAATCGAGGACTAATATCTCAGAAGACCAGAGTAGTATCTCTCAGCTGATCTTCCTGGCAAAATTCCTTTTTTTTTTCTTTTTTCTTTTTTTCTCAATTTATTTACTTGCACCTCGGTTGATGCCTGGGCGACATATGCCCTAAAAATAATCATTAAACTCCGCAAGGTCCTTTTTCCAGTCAATCTTGAAAGTCTCCCATTGTTTTTCTGCGATCTTATCAGTTAAGTCCTCCTCATTCGCCGTGTCGGCATTCAGCGCGTCTGCATCCAACGCTTCGTCAGCGCCAGGAGGCAGCGGAAACTGTACGCCTTGTTCCCACTTGAAAAAGTGACGGGGGTCCAATTCTTTCTTGATGTCCCGCAGCTTCTGGCGATTTTTGCCAAAATAAGCCATTTCGTGACCCTTGGTTGAGAACACTCCGTCGGGGGAAGTTGATGAAGGCAGCCACACCATCCAGAGAATGGGGCCTCAACTTCTGCTTGACTTGCCCCAGGAAGCCCCTCATGTCTCGCTCCATCCATTTGTCTTCCCAATCGAGCGTGACATAGGTATGGTAGACGGCGTTGCGCCAAACGAAGGCAGAAGAATCGGCCGGCTTGAGCTGCGCCTCCCCACCGGCATGAATCCAAGTCACCAGGAACTGTACTTTTCCTCGTTGTAAAGATTCCGGAAAGCTTGCATCTCTTTTTGGATGATAGAGGTGATCTTCTCGATGGTTTCCCTGTCGTTGCCAAAGACGAAAGAGCTGTAAATGCTGTAGGACTTGTTGGTGGGGAAGGCCCTGGTTGTTTCCTCGGACCATTGGGCCACGAGCGTCTCATGAAGAAAGCGAGTCGACTTCTCAGGCAAGGAGCGCCTTTTGAGCTGCTTCTCCAGCTCCTTGTCCCTTATGTGCCCACTGATGACCTTGTCAAACTCGTCCTTGTCACCATCGTAGCAGGCGATGAATCGCACCCCGTCGCCCGTTTTCTCCCGGAGGTCGCACATCCAGGTGCTGTCTATGGTCATCTCCCTCGGCCACTCTGTGGTGTAGAATCTGTTCATTGTGGACACGACATCTTCCGTAATCCCCGACGTGGGAAACCACCGATATCGGCCCGCTACCACCAAACCTTCGCTTTTTCCCAGCTTTTGTAAGTCAAGCCTCAATCGTGATGTTGAGACGCGGTCCATGTTAACATAATGCAGGCATATTTGGAAGGCCAGACGGCCGCAGCAACAGCAAAACTAATGATAGGGTCGAGAAGAAGCAGCACCTCAAGTTGGCTGGAGATCAAATGGTGATGTTATACTAGGTATGTCTGGCTCGCAGTACTGACGATAAGGGGCGTCCATGTACTCGTGCCGCCGAGGCGGTGCAATTGGTGTTCGTGCTATACTGTTATAGCACTGATAAAGAAATGATACGTTATCCGCATTTGCTCAATCTTTGTTAAGCCTTGACGCATCAAACTTATTTCCAGGTCAAGAAAGCTCCCACTTTCATTCGAATATAGTGTGTTGATTGACATATTTGACAACCAAGGCAATCCAACGCGCGCGATAAGATGGCACGGAAGCACAAAACTGACCTCTGAATAATGCACAAGGCCGGGTGTTAGAATACAGCGTTAACTATTACACGTGTGCGTTGTGGTCTGCCGGGGATGGGTTGGTTGATGAATTGCATGGCCCACTGGCTAAGCAGACGGGAATGTGGAGTAGCCCATGATAAAGACATGGTCATGCAGATGCATTGTGTCAGTGTCTGCATTTTTCCCTTACTCTGCGATGGTCGCTTCGGCACCGAAAAATGCAAGAAAGGAGACACGTCAGCCAGGGAACAGGGAGAGACGACAGGGGTCTCAAGAGAAATGTTGACCTAGTTGCCGCTTCCGTGTCATGGACTGCATTCTCACCCCAGCTTTCAGCGCCAGCCACAAGAGAGCGATTTTTCCCTTACCGAGACAACGGTAGTCGTTTATCCCT